GCTTTCAGGCTGGGTAGAACCTTCGTGCTCCCCATGTCCCAGGAAGGGCTCATCCTGTGCAGAGCTGAGCCTCCCTGGAAACGCAAAGTAGACCCGATGGCTGCCGGCACACTTGCTCACCTACAATGGGCTTTCCTTCAGTACACAAGGCGCACAGTAGGGCTTGTATCTTTCTTGCTGGGTTGAATTCTGTCCCCTTCTCCCAAAACACAATTCAAGTCCTACCTCCCAGCACTTGGAACGTGACCTACTGGCAGTAGGGCCATTGCAGATGTAACTATGCTAAGATGAGGTCAGTTTAAAAATAATTCAATAAGAGGGGACGGGGGCACCTGGGGGTTCAGTTGGTTAAGTGTCCGACTTCGGCTCAGATCATGGTCTCACGGTTCATGGGTTCGAGCCCCGTGTTGGGCTCTGTGCTGACAGCTCAGAGCCTGGAGCTGCTTCAGATTCTGTGTCTCCCTCTCTCTCTGGCCCTTCACTGCTCACGCTTTGTCTCTCTCTCTCTCTCTCTCTCTCAGAAATAAATAAAACGTTTAAAAATATTAAAAACAAAAACCCCCTAAACAAACATTAAAAAATGTTTTAATAAAAAAGGAAGAGGCCATAGTGGATTAAGGGGTTGCTCAGGCCAGTGAGTGTTGTGCTTATGGGAAAAGGCGGATTTGGACACAGACACAGGACATGTGAGGATGTGGCAGAGACTGGGGAGATGTGTCCATAAGCCTGGGATCACCCAGCACTGCTGGCCACACCGGAAGCTGGGAGAGGCGGGACGGTGCTGACACCTTGATTTTGGATTTATGGACCCCGGAAGTGTGAAGCATACACCTCTTTGTCTGAGGCCCCCCGGTACGGCCATCCTAGGAAACTCATGTACCCTCTGTGGTATGAATTCCAAGTGTCTCAGCTGAGCCTCCCACCAGGATGTGGCATCAGTGAACCCTCCAACACCCTTCCCACAACCTAGCTGGGCTCTTGTGCTGCATTCCCTACCATGCCAAGACCTTTCTTCCCCAGTGCCTTTGCACATCTCACTCCTCTGTCTAGAGTAAATTTGCTTAGCCTTTAAGGCCGGGTCAGTGTCCTCCAGGAGCTTCTGACTGAGTCTGGCCTCTACCCCACCCTGCACTCTGCCCCAGGACTCAGCATTAGCACTGAGTCTGTGGTACTGTGTGCTAATCGCTTGCTTCCTGGGCAGACTGTGAGCCGAAAGGGACGAAGTGCCTCTCCTTATCTTGCTTTGGTGAGTCACAGGCTGGCCCTCAAAGAAGTGGCTCGTGGAAGGACATTGAATGAAGGCATATCACGTGAGTCGGGGAGGCGCAGCCCAGAAGGTCTGTTATACCTGTGGCTTCAGTTGTACCCCCAGATTCTAGCCTCAGGGTTTAGGTTTCTCATGGTGTGAAGCAAGGGAGTTGGGAATAAACTACGACCATGCCTCTTGCCCCCCACCCTCACCCCCAACCTGTGCTCCAAGGGCATCAAGCTTGGGCACTGCTTCCTCAGTCTCCCGCTCAGGGGAGGCCCAGCCTCGGTTTCTGCCTGACCGCTTCTGATGCCCGGCAACCACACAGTCTCTTTCTGGGTAGAGGCACGCTTTTCTGAGTCTCCAGGCTGGGCCAGCAACGTTGAGGCTTAGCAATACCCGCAAAGCTCAGGCAAAGGAACCAGAGGGGATACTTCTCTGGGGCCTAAAAAATTATTTCTTGGCCACTTTGGTGGTTTTTAGATGCCCAGACAAATAAATGTATCTTTTTTCCTTCTCTGCAATTTCCAACACCCCTGTCCCTTCCTGTCACTCCTGTCTCCCCCAGCACCATTGTCTCTGGGATGGTCACAGGGCCTGGGGTAGGAAGCAGAACCACGGACAGCGGCACCACAGCCCCAGGGCCCCTGCAGCCCCGACTGCCTCCGCCCCCAAGCAGTCCTGACTCCACCCCCAGCAGCCCGGCTCCACCCCCGCAGCCTGACTCCACCCCCAGCAGCCCGGCTCCACCCCCAGCAGTCCTGACTCCACCCCGCAGCCTGACTCCACCCCCAGCAGCCCGGCTCCACCCCCGCAGCCTGACTCCACCCCCAGCAGCCCGGCTCCACCCCCAGCAGTCAGCTCTGTTTTTGCTGAGGATGTCACAGCCTGAATTGCGTGTCCCCCTCCCTCACCCCTGCCAATTCAAATTCAAATATCAATTCAAATTCAATTCAAATATCGAAAGACCAACCGTCAATATGACCGTATTTGGAGCTGGGGAGTTTAAGAAGCAATGAAGGTGAACTGAGGTCATTAGGGGCGCCAAGCCGGCTGAGACTGAGACAGAGGAGGGGACCAGAAGAGATGAGCCCGGCGTGGGGAAGGGCGGAGCCGAGGAGCGCAGTTCTTGCCCTGACCCCATGGCTGCTGCACACATATTTTGGGACCTGCCGAGGTGTGTGCAACACAAAATTAGCTCGGTGTGCGTGCTGGGCTGGGGGAAAGAGGCAGAGAGAGACAGAGGAGGAAGGGAGAGACAGAGAGAGGGGAGAGACACAGGAGGCAAGGAGGGAGGGGGGGAGGGAATGATAAAGCAAAAGGAGCGAAATGTTAATTGGCAAATCTGAGGACAGGTTTACAAATATGATTCTTGTATTTTTTCCCCCAAAGTTGGAGACTATATCAGAATAAAAAGGTACAAAGCAACAGAACCCACAGCCACTTGCTTCTGAAGGGAAAGGTGGGCTGGGATGGCAGTCAGATACCTTATCCCTGCACCTGCCTCCTCTGGCCTGTGACACACTGGTCAAGATCTCCCCTCAGCTTTTCTGTCGCCCCTCAACCTGATTCCACTGGCCTCAGGGCCTTTGCACATACTGAGCTCTGAGTTTGGAATGCTCAGCACCTACCCATGGTCTCCTTCTCCTTTTCATCCCTCTTCATCCGTCACAGCTCAGGGCCAGCACCCTCTCCAGCCTCTCCAATCTCTCCAAACTGGTCAGACTCCACCCAGGCACTCTGCAAGTACCATGACCCCAGCTGCACTGTTACGTTGGGTTGTGAAGTTAATAACACAGCTGTCCCTGCCCCAGAGTGGATGCCCCATGAGGGCACCTGTCTTGTTCGCCACGTGTCCCGAGTGTCTCGCCCAGGGCCTGGCATATAGCTGGTGCATTTTATTACAGAGAAGGAATGGAGAAATAAGGCAGAGAAGCTACATAAGCTCTGGGCTGCCCTTTGGATCCATAAGAACCTGCAGAAAGGCAGGAGATGAAGGAAGATGCTGCAAGGTCATGGCCACAGGAGGGGCCGCGGGCACAGGGAAAGCCCTCTGGCACCCCGGGGAAGCCCCTGGGAAGGGGATCACTGAGCTGGAAGGAACAGAGCCGTGGGCTGTCTTGCACCAGACAGAGGTGCTTATGTGGAGATGCAGCTGGGTGCTGTGTGAAGGTGCTGTACTCACTTCTTCCGGGGCGAGGAAGGCAGAAGGCTTGGCAAAGAACCGGCTCACGCCCCGGGGCACAGCAGGGCCACTGTGCCACAGACACTGGGCTACTGAAAAGGGACAGCCAGCCTCTGCAGCTGGGAGAAACTCACTTAGAAATCACAGTCGCAGCTGCCGCATTTTGTCTCAACAAGGAGGGCTTGAGAGAGGGGATAGCTTTTAAAAGATAGGGGTGGGGGGCACAGGAGTGAACAAGATACAGCTAAGAAGAGCAATGGTGGGGGGGGACAATGGATTCGGGCAGCCTTCGTCATTTAGAAAGCCCATCCCAGCCGCCTTGCCCTGTGCGCCTTAGAGAATGCTTCCTGCAACTCAGTGAGGGCTTATCATCCCGATTCACAGAGAGGAAAACTGAGGCACAAGGAAGCCCTCATCACCCTCAGCGACTGGGCTCTTTTCAAGGGTGAACACCCTCACTCCTTCATCTCTTCCTTTCCAGACAGTTATATAATGAGCTCTTGGACTTCATCCCCTGGAGTAAACCTCTTGCGTTAAACGAGGGCGGAGATGGGCTGTGTGTCCAGCCATTGGATTAGAGGAGCCTGTGCCAACCCGTGTTTTCTCTTACCCATCACCACCCAGAAGAGCACAGAGAGGGACACAGGCCTGGTGGCTCACGCATCCTGGCATTGGATGCCCATGGCTTCCTTCTTACATGGTTTTTTTTCCCTACCTGTGACTGCCCCCCACGCACCCCGTATCTTCGGTGCGCCCTGTTCTCGCAGGGCTCCCTTTGGTGGGGGAAACAGACCACACACGAGAGAAACACGTAAAATATTTAGGGTATTAGGCTCATAGCAGCATTTCTCGGGGCTGCTGTGACAAACCACCGCACACTTAGGGGCTTAGAACATCAGACTCATTCTCTTATGATTTGAGGGGCCAGAAGTGAGTCTGAACTAGGTTTCAACTGGGCTGCAGGCAGGGCGAAGGCGGGGCTGGTTCCTTCTGGACGCTCTCAGGGAGAATCTGTTTTTGTCCCCTTTCCAGCTTCTGGAGGTGGCCCTCCCACTGGGCTTGTGGCCCCTCCCTCCCGTGACACAATCTGTCACTTCCATCACCTCTGGCCCTGCTCCTGAGTCAGGTCTCTGGCCTCCTCTCAGAAGGACCCACCCCCCCCTCGGATAACTCAGCCTAAACACACTTGCAAGTGCCTTTGCCACGTAGGGGCACATGTTCAGAGTCCCGGGATTAGGGCATGGACATCTTTGGGGTGGGCATCTGCGCCAGGGATTTGAAGCAAGGGTAGGACCAGATCCCTCCGGCTGCCACAGGTAAGAATATGCCATCATCTAGGTTCATGGGAACTCTCGTAAGAGAATCAATAGTCCATGAGATGGTTGCAGAAGAACGTTCAGGATTCTTAAAATAGCATGGGAATGGGAGCTTTGTGGCGCTCTGGCGGGGCGGGGGTGGGAAATCCATCTTAAATAATTTAGCAAATATTCGTTATGTGCCTGGCATCTCGGGCCCCTCCCATCCCCGCCCCCAGCAAGGGCTGACGTGGCGACGGGGACGCGGTACCTCGGAAGACCTTCGTCCTGCCATTCTTCCTTCACGTCCACGTTTTCCATCCGGAGCGTGGCTTCCGTGGTCCCCATGGGAACTGAGGGAGGTGCTGGCTCGAAGCAGAGCTGAGTCCTGAAGGAGAGCCATGCGGAGGTTTTACTGGACAGTCACTGTAACAACAACCCCCCACCCATGTGTGGCACCTCAGACCAATAAGCAGAGTGTTGGATCCATTATTATATTGAATCGTTGCCCAGCCTGTGAGGTTTCCCCATGATGCAAGCGAGAAAACAGAGGTGTAGAGAGCTGAGGTCTGGAGGTGGGTCTGAAGTTGGAACCCAGGTGACGAGCTGAACCCCCAGATATAAGCCCCCTTCTCTCTGAAGTTCTGAAGTCCGTGCTCCTTAGGGTTCATGATCCCTCTCTTACCTTGGACTTAAACTGGGAAGCAATCAATCCAATTAAAATCATTTATACTGAAGTGTTAGTGACTGATACACATAAGCTTCCTTGCTGGGACTGACACTTTCAAACCCCACCTCTGTCTTCTCCAGCCTACCTGCCCTGCCTCTCTGTCCCCTAATAAAGAAGCAAATCCTGACACCCTGCAGACCTTAGGGTCAACGAAGGCAGTGTGGAAAGAGAAGGGGGTTGGAAGTCGGGGTCATAATTCTTACCAATCACAAGACTCAAGTTTTGTTTTTATTGTTCTGAGGAGCTGCAGAAGGGGGCAGAATTTGGGTTTATCCCTAGGCATGGGAGACTCAGCCATTCACCCATACCAGCTTTCAGTTTCCCCATCTGCAAATCAAAGAGTTGGACTAGAAATCATCTTTATGATACCTTTTGGGTGTAACATTCCAGGATCTAACTCAGTCAACACCATGGGTTCTGTGCTTTTAAACAGTGGCTTTCAACTGGGGATAATTTTGCCCTCCCCCTCCCCACCAGGGGATGCTTGGCAATGTTTGGAGGCATTTGGTCGTCACAGCTTGGAGAGGGGCTCCTTGGATCAAGGGGGTGGAGGGCAAGGATTCTGCTGAACGCCGTTAGGTGAGCAAGGTGGGCCCCCAGGACCGAGAATGATCCAGCCCCAATGTCCATGGATCTGCGATTGAGAAACTGGGTTGTAACTGCATGCTTGCGAAAGGTCCCCGGTCAGGGTTTGACAGTCCTTACAGAGGGCCCACTGTGCCTTTGCACACCATACTCCAAGCAGCTAGCTCCTGAGGGGTTATTCTCACATAGCACTGCCTCCAGCCCCTCACCCTTCAGGACGCCAGGGCTGCCCGCGAGCCGTGCATGGCTAACAGTTTGGGTGTGTCGTCTGAAGCCTCACCGGATAGCAGCCCCTGAAAGTGGGGTCTGCATTTGGGGTTGTGGGACAGAGAGGGGGGACCCAGAGGAAGCCTGGGCCAGAAGGCCAGGCAGGGGGGAGGGGTGGCTGGCTAAAATTAGACCCTCTCCTCCCTCCCCCCCAACACACACTTGGGTAAGAGTGTCCCACCGGATTCTTGTCACTGTTCTGAATGTCGTCATTCATTCATGGAGGAGGGACAGTAAGACGCAGTACGCCAAAAAAAAAAAAAAAAAATCTCTTCCTCTCTTCCTGATGCCTGGGATGATAAACACCACCCAGGACCTCACTGCAAGGGAAAGTTCCGGTCAATGGAAATTCATTTTCTTTCCAAAGAGGGTGGTCTCTGCCTCTGTTTTCCTTATCCTAAGTGGAGTGCGACCTCAGACCCCCAGGAAGGACGCCCCCCAATTCCACCCACAGCGGAGGCTCTGGAGCCCCGCAGGCCGGCTCCACAATCCTGTAAATGTGGGGTGTGGGTGGGTCCCCCGTGGGCCCTGCAGGCTCCTGTTCTAAGATCAGCGATCAGTCTGAGGATGGAAAGTGAGGCGGAGTGAGGGGCAGCGGAGAGGCGAGCCCTCGCGCTGTGGCTGAATAGTCAGGGTCTCCATCCGGATGCAGACGGAGCCGGAGGCAGCCGTCTTCCACCCTCTCCCTGCCTCCCCGCCCATAGGCAAGCCTCCATGTACACATCTATCAAGTCTCTCTCTCTCTCTCTCTCTCTCTCTCTTTTCCAAATCCGCTCACGGTGTTATAAATAGACAATGCACAGAGGTGGGGCGTGTACATTTCGGTCTCTTAGGAAGCGTCCGGGAGAGAGGCTGCTGAGGGTTTTATCAGCCTAATCTCCAAGCACGTCCTGAAAATGGTGCCTTCCTCTGCCTCCCTGGTGAGCGGTGGGCGCGGAGGGCGGGCTGTGGGTGTGGACGCCCGCGGGAGGTTTTCCTCGGTTCCGGGAGACCGGGCTGCGCTGTCACCCACAGAATCACAAGACCGTGGGTCCCCGCTCCCAGCCGCCCCACCTGCCAGAAGGGGGTTTGCAAGAGCCGACGTCCCCGGACAAGCAAGCGTGCCCGGGCAGGGCTGGGGGAAAGGACAGCGGACTCACCTCCGCGGCCTGTGCCGGTTACGCGCAGACAAAGGCGAGCCCCGCGCCCAAGCCGCCGGGCATCCCTCGCCTTCGGAGCGCGGTTCCTGGGCCTTCAGAGCATCGCAGGAGGACGCGAGCAGGGGCGGGCTCCGCGCCCGAGGAAGGTCACCCGGAGCAACGTGGCGGCGCAGGTGGGGGCGCTTTTGTCCAGGTGGGGGGCGGGCGCAGTTAGCGGCCGGCCAGCGGCCCCGGCCCCGGCCCCGGCTCGCCGGCTGAGCCTCCGAGGAGCTCCTTCCTGCGGGCTCGCAGCTGGCGGAGGCTCGGCCGCCTTTACACAGTTAATTATGCTGCTTTTGTGTGCAGGGTGGGTGGGTGGGGGCAGGGCTGACCGAAAAGCACAGCCCCCTGCCAGAATCCGGTGCTCTCCATTGGCTGAAAGGGGAGTATTTCCAAGAGCCTCGCCGGGGGCAGGAGCGGAAATGATTTCCTGATGGCGCATCACAGATTTAAAAACAAAACAGGGAGCAAACAAACAAACAAACAAATGACCGCGATGGCCTCATTTCTTAGATTAGCAGGGAGGAAGGGAAACTGTCCTGAGGACCCCATCACAGGGGTCCCCCCGCCCGCCGCTCACCGCTGACCGGAGCCGTGGGCCGAGGACAGGGCCGAGTGCTGGGGAGGCAGAGTCTCTGAGCCTCCGGCCACCGACCGAAAGGCGCCCCCTGCAGTTGTGTGCTGGGCGCCCCTGGCCCGGAGGGCTTCCGGATGACGGGGGGTGGGTGGGTGGGGGATGGTATAAGGTGCTGCCAGACTCTGAAATCAGACTAGGAGGCCGACTAGCTGGGAGACACGAAGGGGTGAGCGATTGATTGCCTGCTGGGCCTCAGTTTACTCATCTGTGAAATGGAAACATGGTACCGGCCGATTCGGCCGTGAAATCAGGTAGCAGTGCACATAGCACACTGTTTCTTGCCCTTGCTGTTTTTCTATCTTTAGACGTATAGCAGGCTGAATGCTGGTCCCCACAAGATGTATCATGTCTTGTCCTGACCCCTGGAACTTGGAAATATGACCTTATTTGGAAAAAGGGTCTTGGCAGATGGAACTGAGGATCGGTACTCTCATCTTGAGGTGACGTGATCTGGATTTAGGATGAATCCCAAATCCAAGGGCAAGTGCCTTTGCATCTGCAAGGCGAGGAGAACCAAGGATCACCAGCAACCACCAGAAGCTGGGCAGGCATGGAATGGATTCTCCCTCACAGCCTCCAGAAGGAACCAACCTTGATTTTTGGCTTTTGGCCTCCAGAACTGTGAGAGAATTTTGATTTCTATTGTTTTAAGCCACCTGGCTTGTGGTGCTTTGTTACAGAGTCCCAGGAAATGAATATATGATCCTGAGTAGCCACCGATGCCTACTGCTCTGTCCTGCCTCCCTTGATCGCTGTGGTGACTTTTCACTTGTTCTGTGAACACATCAAGTTCATCCCTGCCACAGGGCCTTTGAACATGCTGTTCCCTCTGCCAGGAATGCTCTTCCACAGATGTTCACTAATCTCCTCAGAGAGGCCTTCCCTAACCATCCCTACCTTACCCCCCACTTCATTGCCCCATTTCAGTGCCCAGTCTGATTTTTTAAAGTATATATATATATATACACTAAATATATATACATATATACACACTAAATATATATATTTAATTGTAGTAAAATGCACATAACATAAAATTTGCCATTTTAGCCACTGGAAAGTGTCCAGTTCAGTGACATTAAACACACTCACATAGTTGTACAGCCACCGCCACTATTTCCAGGAATTCTTCATCTCCCCAAACCTGAACTTCTGTCCCCATGACACTAATTTCCCATCCCCCTGCCCCAAACCCTGACAACCACTAATCTACTTTCTATCTCTGTGGCTTTGCCTGTTCCTGGACATGTCACATAAATGGAATCAGGGGACACCTGGGTGGCTTAGTCGGTTGGGTGTCTGACTCTTGATTTCAGCTCAGGTCATGATCTCATGGTTTGTGGGATCAAGACCCATGTCGAGCTCCATGCTGACAGCTTGAGGCCTGCTTGGGATTCTCTTTCCTCACTCTCTGCCCCTCTTCCCCTCTCAAAACAAATAAACATTTAAAAAAGTCAATGGAAGGGGCGCCTGGGTGGCTTAGTCGGTTAAGCGTCTGACTTTCGCTTAGGTCATGACCTCAGGGTTCATGGGTTCGGGCCCCGCATCGGGCTCTGTGCTGACTGCCAGCCCAGAGCCTGGAGCCTGTTTCAGTCTGTGACTCCCTCTCTCTCTGACCCTCCCCTGCTCACGCTGTCTCTCTCACTCTCTCCTAGAAATAAATAAAACATTAAAAAAATAAAAAATAAAAAAGTCAATGGAATCATACACTATGTCATTTTTTGTGTCTGGCCACTTTGGTTGAGCATAATTTTTCAAGGATCATCCACGTTGCAGCAGGGGTCAGTTTTCCGATCCTTTTGATGGCTGGAAAATAAATTCCAATGTGTGCATGTGCCACATTTTGTTTACCCATTTACCAGTGGACGGACATTGGGGCTGTTTCTACTGTATGGCTCTCGTGAAGAGTGTGCTGTGAACATGGATGTGCACAGACTTATCTGGGTCCCTGTTTTCGATTCCCTTGGGTATATGCCTGGGCATGGAATTGCTGGGTCATACACTAAGGAGCTTGACTTTCCCCCCACAGCACTTACCACTATTTAAAATTGTTTACTTATTTTTTGTTTGCTTATTCTCTGACTCCCTAGCTAGAATGTAAAATTGAAGATGAACAAGACTGGGTCGGTCTTGTACCCTGCTCTGTTCTCTGCAGAGGGCAGCCGCACCTGGCACAAAGGGGAAGTCCAGGAGATGCAGGTAGAACGTGTGGACGCTGGTTCCCCACCGTGGGCACCAGACAACACTGCTCACCTTGCTGCCTCACTCACTGCACCAGGCTCTGTGTCCCTCCAAGCCAAAGGCAGAAAGACATTGCCCCACAGCGGGGGAGGAGAGCCAAGAGCCTGAAGCTCAGGATCCATCGGGCTTTATGTGCCCTGGTTGGAAAACGTGAGGCTCTCGGAAAAGATGCTTGTGTTAATTTAGTGGGAAATCCAGGCCAGTCCTTGTGCTGGGCGCTGGAGTCCAGCGTGTGAATAAGAAAGACTGCTTTTGTAAAACTCCCATTTGGAGAAGCAGATGGGCAAAGGAGTCTGTGCTGATTTAGAGACATCTTTGAAGCAGAATGGCTTGAGGGAGGGCCCATGGGAAGACGTCCAGGGCGGAGGGTGGGCAGTGACTATGTGAGTTGGGCCCTGAGAAGTGAGTAGGAGTTGGATGGATGAAGAAGCCGGAGAACTGCAATCTGGACACAGCGGTATTTGCAAAGCGGCAGCCCCTCCCCCATGAGAGCGCGCGGGGAGCTGTCCGTGGTGCTGGGGCCGCTGCCCCGGCGACCGGCGCGCGAACCGAGCTCGGCTCTTGTCTGGTTTACTTTTCACCGTATATTTTAAATATATATATATAACTTATAAAGATATATATAAATATGTAAAACTTGCCATTCTGATAATTTTTAAGCGTGAAATTCGGTGGCATCAATTGCACTCACCATGTGCAGCCATCACCACAATCCATCTTGGAAACTTTTTTCATCTTCCTAAACTGAAACTGTCCCCATTAAATTCTCACCCACTTTCCCCATTCGCCATTCCTCTATAATGTAAGCTTCTTGAGATCAGAGATGTCGCACTTTGTCACTGCTGTCTCTCGGATCCCTAGCCAGTGGTTCTCACGGTGGGGCAGGGATTCTGTCCCCCATGGGAGGTTTGGTGATATCTGGGAACATTTTTGGTTTTCGTGACTCGGGGGATGATGATGATACCAGCACGAGTGGGTAGACACCAGAGAGCCTGATAAATACTCTACAACGCACATGATAACTCTCCACGACAGAAAATTACCTGGTCCCAAACATCAACAGTGTGGGTTGAGAATAACACCTAAAACATAGATCTCATTACATTGGATGGAGGCAATGAAATAGCTAATGCTCCTTGAGTGTCATTTTCATGATTTGCAAAAGGGATTATACACGGACGTTCAATCCTCATTATTAGTCATTTCTGTATTTGTGAATTTGCCTACTGGCTGAAATTTTTGGGTAACGTTTGTAACAAACTAATACTCAAGGTGCCTTCAGGGTCATTTGCAGATGAGGAAGAGTGATGAAAAATTTGAGTGCTGGGGGTACATGCTTCTAGGTGAGCTTGAATAAGGCGCCACTTTGCCTTCTGATTCCACCCCACATTGTAAACTGCCGATTTTGGGATTTATTTAGCGCCATGATTTTTGTGCTTTACATTGGTGGTTTTGTTGCTTATAGTGGCCCCCGTGCACGGTCCTGAGGGCTGTCTAGTGTTCCCAAGCACAAGAAGGTCAGGATGCACCTTGCGGTGAAAATATGAGTGGTAGATAAGCTTCATTCAGGTGTGAGTTATAGTGCTGTTGGCTGTTCATGAATCAGTAATGTATATGAAGTAAGATGTCTTGAGACAGAAGCACACAGAACACAAGGTTATGCATTTGATCAGCTGATGAAAAATAACGTGAACAGAAGTTTGCAGGAATTCACCCAAGTTTCCCCAGGAGCGGGGCTTCAGGATTCCCTATTCCAGGGTTTAGGGCAACTTTATAGGACAGAGATGCTGCCAATAATGAGAATCAACTTCTGAGTATCTACTTCTGAGGGCTATGTGAGCACTAGATAAGATCGTGCATGCAAAGCGTTGAACATGATGCTGCTGGTAAAAAACAGAGGGGAAAAGTATTATGTAACCCAGAGAAAACATTAAAACAGGCCAGCTTTTGTATAAAGCATGTAGACTTTGTTACCTAATAAGAACTGCAGGGAATTGGAGGAAAGCCTTGTGTAATTACCACTCTGAGCTTTAGCCAGGGCATGGTGGGAGAGCTGCTGGCAAACCAGGCCCACTAGATTGTTTCTGGTGATCACACATGGTCATGAAGACACAAAGGGAAGAATGCCATCCATTAATGCCATACGCTTTCCTTGGCACCCTGGGCTTGCCATGGTTTCTGTCCAAGAATTAACTAGCCCTGTGCCTGCTTCATATGAAGGAGGAAAGGAACCCCAACCCACCACAGTCAATAAATGTACTTTTTAAAATTATTTTTTTAAAAATTGAAATAATTATAGGTTCACATGTAGTAAGAAGTAATGGAGAGATCCTGTGTACCTCCCCTCCCCATTTACCCAATGGTAAAATCTTACACAACTATACTGCAATATCACTATTGCTTTCAATACAGTCGAGATACAGAACATTTCCTCACTACAGGATACAGGATACCTCACATCGTCCTTCTATAGAGCTTCCACACCCCATATCCTTTCCTGCCATGTCCTTAACCCTAGATATCACAAATATGTTCTTCACTTCGTGAACTTTGATGGTTCAAGAGTTTTAAATGGAATCACAGGAGTACGTAAAGCAAGGAGTATGTAAAAGCAAAGCCTTTTGCGTTGGCTTTTCCTACTCAGCATAATTCTCTAGAGTTTCATCCAGATTGTGTATATCAAGGGTTTATTCCTTTTTGTTGCTAAGTAGTGCTCCATTATACAAAATGTGCAGAACGGGTAAACCTATAGAGACTGAAAGCAGACTGATGGTTGCTAGCAGCTGGGAGATTGAGAAATGACTGTTGATGGAGACAGAGTTTCTACTTGGGGTGGTGAAAATGTTCTGGAATTACACAGTGGTGAGGGTCACACAATCCTGTATATGTACTAAAAACCATTGAATAGCACACTTCAAATGGGTGAAGGATATGTTATGTAAATTCTGTCTTGGTAAAGCTGTTATTAACCAAAAAGGACCATAATTGTAGTTAATACTTTGTAGTTTGGTTACCATCTGCCTGCCTAACTCTAAGTCCTGCAGAGGACTGGCACCGAGGAGTTTTTCTTTTTTTTTTAAATTTTTTATTTGTTTCTAGGGGAGAGAGAGAGAGAGCGTGAGCAGGGGAGGGTCAGAGAGAGAGGGAGATACAGACTCTGAAATAGGCTCCAGGCTCCGAGCTGGCAGTCAGCACAGAGCCCGACGCGGGGCTCGAACCCAGGAATCGCGAGATCATGACCTAAGCGAAAGTCGGACGCTTAACCGACTAAGCCACCCGGGCGCCCCTGGCACCAAGGAGTTTTGCTCACTGCTGCATCCCCCTAGGTGGCCAGGCTTGTAGGAGGTGGGTCAAGAAATATCTCTCAACATGCCTTACAGTTAGTATAGGGTTTCTCAGCCTGGGGACTGGGTGATTTTGGAACCGGGTCGTTCTGTTGTGGGGGCATCCGGGGCGATGTGGGGCTAAGCAGCATCCCTGCCCCCCACCCACTTGATGCAAGGAGCTGCCCAGTGTGACAACCACAGATGTCCCCAGACACCGCCTAGTGTCCCCTGGGGGCAAATCTCTCTGGTTGAGAACCACTATTTAGGGTCACCAAATTTTAAGGCCCCACGAAAGGCTGCCCACCAGCGGGTCCCAAAGGACAAGTATGACTTGGCCGTATCTATAGGGCCGCAAGCACCCGGCCAGAGAGGCCAGCGGAACTCCCAAACCCACCCCAGTGGGACACAAAGTATAAAGCACTTAAAGGTTCGCGTTCAGGGCGGATCTTGGGGTGCCAGGCAGAGAACCCCAAAGCTGAATGGTTAAAGGGAAAGCAGGGCTCTGGGAAGGGACGGGGCTTGCGGCAGAGTCCCCGGATGCTGAGCTGCAAAGGGGGGGAAGGCGAGGCCCCGAGGAGGGGCGGGGCTTGACGCAGGGGCGGGGCTTGAGGCAGAGACACCCCCGCAGACTCGCAGTGAGAAGCGAGGAGGCGCGAGCCTCGCGAGGGGGGCGGGGCCTGGGGCGCGTGGCGGGGCGCGAGCGGCACGCGGCCCGGGGGCGGGGCCCAGGGACGTCATCGCCGGCGGCCCCTCCCCTCGCGCCTCGGGTCCGCTCGCGCGCCGTGGAGACGTGAAGATGGCGGCGAGTGACTGCTCCGGCTTCGCGCGCGGCGCCGGCCCTCCGTACAGGTAACGGTCCCCGCGCCGCTCGCGCCGCCGGCCCGACCCCGGCCCCGGGGAAGCCGCGCGCCGGCGTGTCGGCCGGAGCCGGGCGGGACGCGGGTGGCTTGGCCTGCGCCAGCTAAGATGGCCGCGCGGTCGGGGACGCGTGTCTGTCAGGGGAGAGCGGCGGGCTCCTGACGCGGGAGGCGGTCCTGGGCCTGTCCGGGCGCGGACACTGCGCGGGGCCTGACGTGGGGAGGGCGGTGCGCACTTTGGCGGGCAGAGAAGCCAGAGCGGGGAGGCGGCCCGTCCGGGCGCGGCAGGGGCAGAGCGGGAGCGCGGGGACCCCCGGGGGTCGTGCGGGGGGGGTTGGGGGGGCTGCGGAAGAGGGGACGGAGGTCCGGAGGTCCGGGAGGGTCCTGAGGGCAGCAGGAGGGGGGGCGGGAAGTGATGCCGGCGGCGGGTGCGGAGTCAGGACCTTGGAGGAGGACGGGGGAGGGGAAAGGGCACTTGACTTAGGAGGGAACTGACTCGGGAGGGTACCTGGCGGGGCAGGGGGTTGGGGGTGTTGGGGGTGGGGTTACCGGAGGGAGAGAAGGAGAGACATTGGCGAGGGGGATTGAGACCTGATTGGGGGCTCAGGCGGAGATTTGGGGGGGCGGAATTGACCTGAGGGAAGTCCTGCGACCCAGTAGGAGGGTGGGCTTCCAGCGGAGGGGGAACAGGAAGGAGTTTAAGAGTCAGCGGAGGAGGTGTTCGCATCTTTAAGGTCCTGTAAAGGACAGACACCCACGCGTTTGGGGGCAGGGGGAGGAGCCAAGAAACAGATGGGGGGCAGGGATAGGAAGCAGCCAAGGGGAGGAGGGATCTACAGGTAGAAGCACATGGGGGTGCTGTACCCCAAGTGCACAGATACCCTCCGCACGCCCTTCTTCAAGGCCTCTCCTTAGAGCGGCTCTGCCGTCTCGTCCTTCACCCTGACCCTGGAGAACCGAGACCCTCGGCCGCCCGCCCCCAGCCCACCCTTTTCATTGTGGCGGCTTCCGGCTTCCGCCTGCAGCTGGGCTGACGCCCTGGACCAGTGGCTACCGGACCCCGAGGAACCGGAGGCGCTGACCGCCCCCCAGGCCCCCGGGAGACAGTGTGTGCGCACGGGGGACTTGCTGCTTGGAGTCGGGTTTCGGTGGGGGAGAGGAAAGGAGTGGAAGGTGCGGGCCGACCCCTCAGCCCCCTCGTGACGCTGCCGAGTCTTTCCCGTGGGACCAGAAGGAAACAGCAAGGCTGGGAACCAGGGCTGCGGAAGGAAGGCGGGAGCGCCCCTCACATGCCGCCCCGGAGCGCCTCGCCAGGTGTGGGGGGCCAGCCGTGGGGGGCATGCGGTTCCCTGCGGCCGTCCTGGGGTGTCCCGCACCTGCAGGCACGCTGGAGGCACTCCCTCTGCCTGCTGGCCAGCACTTTTCTTCCTCTCTCGTTTCTCGTCGTCTTTCTCCAGCGCGCCCCGTGGTCGTGCGTGGGAATCACTTGCAAGTTGTGTGCTATTGACCGCCTTCCAGAGGAGAGACCGACTGTTGACACCGTTACAGTTGGTGATCGCTGGACCTCGACAGATGTTTCTGTCGTTCGTTTTAATTAAAAGGACTGACACATTATAGCCCAGCTCTTCCATCTGCATTCCGGGGACTTAGGTGACAGTGTGTGCACGTGCTCACGCGTCCGGGAAAGATGTGAAACCGCCCTGAAGGGAATGTCACATCAGTCTGTGTTTTAGAATTGTCTCCAAGAGTGTGTTGTTCTTTTTTACAAAAATTTTTAAAAAATGTTTATTTTTGAGGCAGGGCACGAGGGGAGGAGGGGCAGAGAGAGAGGGAGACACAGAATCCGAATCAGGCTCCAGACTCCGAGCTGTCAGCACAGAACCCAGCACCGAGCTCAAACCACAAGCCAGTGAGATCATGATCTGAGCTGAAGTCCAACGCTCAAGCTCAACCGACTGAGCCCCCCAGGCGCCCCAAGTATGTGTTATTCCTTAAGAAAAGAGTAGGGACTCCTGGCTGGCTCAGTGGGTAGAGCATACGACTCTTGATCTCACCGTTGTGAGTTCAAGCCCCACATTGGGTACAGAAATTACTTTAAAAAATAAAATATTTTTTAGGGGCGCCTGGGTGGCTTAGTCGGTTGAGCGTCCGACTTTCGCTTAGGTCATGATCTCGCGGTTTGTGGGTTCGAGCCCCGCGTCGGGCTCTGTGCTGACTGCCAGCTCAGAGCCTGGAGCCTGTTTCAGTCTGTGACTCCCTCTCTCTCTCTGACCCTCCCCTGCTCACGCTGTCTCTCTCTCTCTCTTAGAAATAAATAAAACATTTAAAAAAAAATAAAATAAAATAAAATATTTTTTAAAAAGTATAAATTTAACCGAAACTGAAACATGGAGATCATAATGAAAGAAATTCCAGTCTCACAAAATCTTGAAAAGAGACCATCTCCATTACTGAATGACTTTACACATTTTCTTTTGTAGGAAATGACTTTTGTTCAGAACCTTCTGCTGCTTCTAGAGTATATATTTCTTGTGTAATGTGCCGTGGATAAACTAGTAGAATACGAGAGAGCCTCCCAGCTTGAGGGTAGCATTGGGACGACAGTATTTACAAAGCCTGTTTTACAGATTGCCAAGTGAAAACCACAGTGTTTTTCTTAGAGGAATTTCGAGTAGGTTTTCTTGGCTTTTAAGTGATAAGCATAGCCCCGGGGAGGAGTATTCCTCACACTGTTGTCCATCGTCAGGGTGGGGATCTGAACTTTAGGAATTGGGGGTTGGTAGGAATCGGAGGCACATTCACTTTTGAAGGTATACAAAAAACTAACAACTACTTGTCGTTAATGATGGTTTTCATTTATTGGATGATATTATGTGGTCTTTTAAATCTCCTAAGACTTTTTCAGAGTTAGAGTTAGTGCTGCAGATACTCACAATGAAGGAGTAACCCCATGTGGAAAATGGAATTTGGCAGTGCCCCGAGTGCAGCTTTCAGGGAGAACAGTTGAAGAGCTGGCATGGAAACATCTAGAACTCAGAGCTATATGCTGGAGGTCATTCTAGTGGAACAGGATGGGTGGGCCATTTCTGTTGTTACATTTCCCTCTTCGTGCAGCAGGTTTGTGAACATCCACACGTGCAGTACACCCGGCTCCGTCTGCCTTCCCGTTTTCGTTAAGTCCAAATAAGACAGCTGCCGGGTTTGGGGGTAATGCTGGATTTCCCGTCAAGAGAAGCTTTTGGTGTAAATTTTAACAGCCCATATTCCTTCATCTGGATGCAAGATGTTTGGTGGGTGGAACCCTATCGAACCCCGTTAGTGGTGAGTGGGGATAAAAATTGCTGGTTGTCAGTTCTTGAATCCTGTAGGCCTGGGCACTCGGCAGCTCATGGGACCCTCACAGTAATCCTCTGATGTAGTTACGGTGGCTGTTTTGTGGGTAAGGAAAAAGAGGCTCAGGGTGCACTGACTAGTGTGAGGTCCCCATGTGGTAAGTGCTGGGGTCTGGCTGGGGCTACAGGCTGCCCAGCTCCCAGGCCAGGCCTTGCCCCATGGTGGGATGTCCCTGAATCCTGGACCCGATTGTGGTGGCAAAACCCAGCCTGAGAGCAGCAGCCTAGCCGTGAGACCTGCTGGTGGAGACCAGGTTGCTGCCATTCTTTACACTGTCCTGTCCCCCTCATTTAGGTCCCCATCACATTGTGGCGTGGGGCCAGATTCTTCAGATCTTAAAAAACTATCCTCCCCAGAATGGGGAAGCCAATGGAGTGTCTGGTCTGGTGCTGCCGGGTTGCTAATGACACCCCAACCCGTGTCTCAGATGTCTCTCCCAGAGACATCACATAGCTTGGGAAAGACAGCAGAGCCCACGCCAGCCGGGGGGAGCAGCGCAGGCAGCCCCAGTGCCGGCTGACGGATTGCTCTGCCCGGGAGCCCCTCGCTCTGCCAGGTATGGCTGCAGCCACATTCAGAGCCCTCTCGGTCACGTGCATATCCCGGCCTGCCTCCATCATCTGCTCCTTGTGGGTCCCCACACCATCCAGAGTATCCAGAGTAAACCTAACCCACCACCTGTCCCCTGAGCTTAGGTCCAAAGAGCACAGGCTGCCGGGGAGAATCTGGTGTCGCTGCCTCAGGGGCCAGTGGGACTCCTGCCACACACCCAGGGGAGTGGAGCCATCCTGACAAATGTTTGCACCTGAGCAGCACCTTCCGGTTACTCCCAGGTGGGTTGGATGGGGAGGTGGCCCTGCATCAGCACCGCAGGGGACCTTCCTGTCAGATGTGGTTACTGCTGCTTTTGTCAAGGCCCATCTCAGGGAGGCGGAGATACACGGTGGGGGATGTACTTGGACGTACTTGGACGTGTCGTCGTTATTGATTGAGACAACTTATGCGTGTGCGGGGGAGGGACAGAAGGAAGGAGGGAGAATCCCAAGCAGGCTCCACACTGTCAGCACAGAGCCCTATGAGGGGCTCAGACTCAGGAACCATGAGATCATGACCTCAGACACTCAACCGGCTGAGCCATCCAGGCGCCCCTCTCTTGTGCTTTTTGCATGTCCTTCCCACATGGGTGACACCGCAAATCGAGAGTGTGCTGTTTACCTGTGGAATATTCTTTAGAATCGTGGTAAGAAGGGGTTTGGGACCACCCAAGTTCTGATGGATGGTAATTGTTTCCTAGGTATGTCCCTTCTGCCAGGGTATCTGCCACCAGCGGGGAACTGAAGTTCTCTGCCTTTTCTTTTCTGATGATACTTGTGTTCTATGATAATTTTAAGGTTGCTGGATTTCTTTTAGCTGGAAACGTCATTTGTAAATATTTTGGGAAATGGATTCTTTTTTTTTCTGGTACATATTTTGCTTTGGGCAGTTTTTTCCCCCCAACGGTAAACTGCATTTGTGCCACTCATGGTCCGTGTACTTTTGTAAATTAGCATATCCCGAGTCACTCGTTTACTAAGAATCGAGAATTGTTTTGCTTTGATT